TATGAAACTAAAACAGCCAGTAGGTGGCAGTAAGTCACTGTCTTAAACTGTCTGAGTCATATCATTAATTCAGACCGATTCATTCAAATACTGATTCATTCAGTTCGGGAAAAAAATAGAATAAAATTATCTCATACATGGGCTTTTTTTACAGCATTTTTAAATGCAGACATTTTTTATCAATGTTGGTGCCACGTCACCCCGCCATAATTTTGATACCTGAGCTGTAGCCTACAGTTGAACATAACACGTGGTGTTTTTTCCCCGAAGTTCAGTATTTTAATGAATCGGTCTGAATTAATGATATGACTCACTCGTTTAAGACAGTGACTTACCGCCACCTACTGGCTGTTTTAGTTTCATATTTAAACGTACAATTTAATTGATTGCATCATTTCATATTTATATATTCAAATGTTCTATTTTTAACATTAATCTCATAACGACTTGCAAATTACATGCAAATGTAATTGCAGTGTAAAAACATTCTCCTCTGTATTAAGATTTTGACTTTTAATTACTTTTGTTTATTTTATTTTACTGATAACAGCCATAGTGCCTTATTATTATAATAACTGAGTAGTTTATCGATTAATATTAAGAACTTGACATACAGTATATGATGCTGAACACCCCTGGAAATCAATTTATAGGTATATATAATACAATACAATATATACATGTATAAATAAATAAATGTGGAAATAAATAAAAGTGGTAATAAAAAAATAAAAAAAATAAACGTGTGAAAAAATACAATTATACATAAATAAGGAAATAAAAGTATAAATACTCATTTATTTGTACTTTTTTTTTACATTTCTTTGTATATTTATTTATGTTTTTTTTTTTTGGCTTTTTTGCATTTCTTCGTATATTTATGTATTTATTTATTTTTAATTAAGTCAGCTTTGGAATTCCATACTAGAGAAGACATCTATCCATAAAATTCCTTTTTCTTCTTTGTGCTGCGTGGTGATTGGAGACCAACAGCCAATCACAATTGACCTTTAATTTTCCGATTGGTTGATTTTGTGGCACACTTGTAACGCTGTTGCAAGTTGAGCGCGCGTGTGTCAAGAGTTGAGCGCGCGTGTGTCAAGAGTTGAGCGCGCGTGTGTCAAGAGTTGAGTGCGCGTGTGTCAAGAGTTGAGCGCGCGTGTGTCAAGTGTTGAGCGCGCACAGAATTAAGAGGTTGAGAGAGAGAGACAGAGAGAGGGACTTGACAGGAGCGCAGAGAATAAGTTTGTGAGAGAGCACCTGAGTAAACTGCGTGAGAGGGGTTATTATTGCACGTTAATATGGATAATAGCAAATACATTTATTGAGCACGGAATCGTTTTTTCTTTGCTCCAACGATTTTTTTTTTTGCGATTGATAATTTCTTTTCAAAATAATATAGATCTCTGTGCTCAAAACTTACCATTACTCGCTCAGGATTGAGGCACATAAATAACGCCATAGTATGTTCACCGGATACCTGCGCGACGCACCGGTCTCGTATCTCTCACGAAGGGAGGTGCGGAAGCATAAAAGGAGGAGCGACGACAGTGAAGAGCGAGAGAGGACAGACCTGAATTGTATTGGATGTTTTGTTTTGCAATGGTGGCGGCAGTCGACCTTGAGGGACTGCCATGTTTACTTTTGTTTTTGTAGGCCTATTTGTTTTATTTTGTTATTCAATTATTTGATTGTTCGCCGGTTCCCGCCTCCTTCTTCCCACAACATCTAACCTTGTTAGAGCGAGTCGTACTCAAAAAGACCGTCCACTTGAAGATGAAGATGTGACATTTAAATCGTTTTTTTACATACTTAATACATTTAAATTTTACGAGTGCATATTCAATTATGAATTTGAAACAACTTTAAATATGTTAAGTGTATTTCAAAATGTGCTTAAAATTGATTTGCATATACATTAAATTGTTTCAAAATGGAACAACTTCTCATACATTTAGTGCAATTCAAATGTATGCCTTTACAATTAATTTAAAATACACTTTTATACTTCTTGAATTAGTTAGAATATATCTGAAGCTTCATTTTAATTTGCTTCAAGATTATTTCAATAGCATTTCAGCTCATGAGAAATGTATTAGCATTACACTACTAGTTTATTACAAAGCTGTTTTAATGCAGAAATCCTTAAATATAAATATTAGGACAGCCACATATACTGGCCTGCATATACACATTGAAATCTAGAAAACTTTAATGTACTAAATCATTGTGTACACAACAAAATAAATATAATCTCTTTACCAAAATACATTATACAATTTTTAATCCGTTTGTAAAAACTTTCTGTTATACTTGTATTACTGAAAAAGTAGGCCTACACTATATCACATCACTGAATAAATAAGCATCACAATGCAATTTTTTTACAAAAAAAAAAGTTACTTTGAACCAAAGTGCAGAAGGGATTAGTGCATTATTTACAAATGTAAGACTGCAAATGGCTGAACCAAAGAAACAGAAGAGTTTAAATACATTTTCTTTTCACCTGGAAAATAACTATTACAATTTAAAAGCTTGTGAATCTAAGAACTATATTCCTTCCACCTGTCCATTCTCTAGTTTAAATATCAAAGTAACAGGTGACTTACAAGAGTACAATAAACCCCAGTGCACAGCGCCATCCAGTGGTTGAGTAATCATTACATTTGGCTTCTTCATTCACTGTTGTCCGTCAGTATCACTGGAGTTTTTATTGCAAACCTCACGGGACACTTTAAACACTGGACAGCGCAAACATGACCTTTGCCAATTTAACTGTTTGATGGTAATTTCATTGCCCTTATTTGTTACTGGTTGTATAGGTAGATTTGCAAATATTCGTAACGGATACTATTAATGATGTTTCAAAGTTCAGTTCCCTATCAGTCGGTCACTCTCGGGGGAGGCTACATCGTGACCGACGAATAGGAATCTTGCCTGAGAGATCAATTTCCATCTACTTTGAGTGTAACTTAGCGAACCAATGACCTTTGGCATGCAATCATTTGCAGCAGCTGCTCTGCCTCAGTGCAGGTAAATAATGAGAAGCAGGTGCGATTGCATCTTCAACTTTTTGCTTCAGAGCCGAGCGTTTCATGCATGGTCTTGTCTGCAAGCAGTGTTTTCTGAATGAGTAAGCTCTTCAAGAAGAACCTCTCGATTAGGTGTCATGGCATGCCAGCGGGGTCAATTTCCTCTTTTTTAATTATTGTTTGCATTTCATTGAGCCAAAATATATATATATTTATGTTCAATATTGCCAAAAGTATTGAACGCCAAAAGTGCCAAAATCTGTTAAATCATTTGATGGCAAAGCATTTTTTAATGCCAAAGCATTCTTAATCCACAAGGGTAGATCAAGGTCCCTGCGAGCCCAGCAGTCAGTAGCAGACTGAGGAGCTTCCCCCGATGTGCCATCTGAGTCCCTTGGGGGCCACCCGTCAGTCTACTCGTCACCTAGGGTGTCGTCCCCTGCAACAACAAAAAAATTCCGGCACAGCCTGCTCTACTGTGTCCGCCGATGGAGGACGTGTTGGAGGATGACACCGCCTGTCTCAGCCACTGTTTAAGCTGTTTGTGAAACATCACCCCTGAGACAGGCGACCCGGAGAAAGTTTCTCTATCTCTGGGTCCGAAGAGGGCCTGGGAGAATCCTCACCATTCCAATCCACTTCTTCTATCGCCAGTGGGCAGCAGCACGCAGTTCGAGAACGCAACAAAGCCTCCTCCCGTGTGGAACCAGGTAAGTATTGCACAGCACACTTAGACACCACTACAGGGCATCTCCCATGCCACAGCTGAAGTAAAATAAATGCAATATTTTCTGAATACACAGACGTTTTAGAGACATTTTCATTCAATACTTCATGTTCTGCTTCATACAGCGTCTGTTTGAACAAAAATAAAGTTCAACATAAGCCTATTATACTATCAATGAAGTGGGGTCTACGTGTTTTTTATCAGTTTTATTTTTTTATAAACATGACACAATATAACATTGCGATTACATGTAAAGATATTTTTACTGTTATAAAAAAACAGATGTTTGAGCTGTAGTGCAACCGAAGGTGTGAGAATAAACAATAAAACAATGAATTATTATTATTATTATTCATGTGGTTGATTCGGCTAATCGTGAAAAAGCTGTGTCGTCATCAGAATAGAGTCCTCCGGCTGCTCTCGAATCGCTCTCGCGGTACTTTTAGTCAAGTCAGTCACGTGGCGTCGGCGCTGTATCAAGTCGGACACAATTTCTAACCGGCATGCACTGCTTCAAGTCAGCCACAGATCAGTCTGCGCAGAGCTGCATGAAGTCCAACAAGCCTTTGCGCTGTAATTCACTCTCTGCTTCTGTGAAAAGTAAACCCCACCTACTTTGATTTGATTGGCCATTTTAACAATTTGGCTATTTTTAATTATTGGAGGGGCTTGTCTTGCTCCTCCAAATACAAAAATGTTGGCCATAATACAATTCCGTTCATAAATGATTCATTATAATGCATTGATTTTAATGTGTGGATATAAAAAAAGAAACTGAAAATTAAGTCGTTGGTAACTTGTCATTTACACTTTGAATAAAAGCAAAGACAAAGAAATTAAGTTAATGGATATTTTTCCCAAATGTTGTTGAGATGCAAGTCAATCCAGCAGACGAGTTTAAGGGTAGAGAAGTTTTATTGAGGATTACAGACAGGTGGAAAACATCTGTGTCTTTCTTCCCTCGTCTGTTTTTGCTCATTCACTACTCCCATTAAAAAGTTTTTTAATGCTCAAAAAGTGTTAACAGAGTGCTTAAAAATTCAGCTGAATCTGCATGTTTCATGTTTACAGCACAATAACTGGTTAAAAACTACTGCATGTACCTGAATCCACATATTTATATTGGTTTGATTGATTCACTGATTTTTTTGCACTTGAAAAACAAAGAAAGACAGAGAAGGAGAATTGAACAAATGATTGTGAAAATTTTGTAAAGCTCTGAGAGGCACTTTTCAGTTGTTCTATGGATTAATTGTGCCGCCTTCATAATGTACAGGCCAGCCTTGCTCACATCCCAACACAATGTAACGAGTGGACTTCTTCCCTTTACGATATTCACATTTTGGGGGTCTCTCCCCACTTTGTAGTTTGCAGGTGATCACAGGAAAAGGCTGGTTGCTCTTAAACAGGTTACCGCCCTGTGGAGTTCCTCCTTTGCCACAAACTGTGTTAATCTGATTTTTATTTGCTTGTATGAAGGTATTGACATCTTTGCAGCCACCAGTAATTGCAGTGATGTCTCTCTTTTTGATTTCACTGGTACACTTCTGCTTATTCATATCAGGACCCAAATGCTGATTGAGGAATTTTTGATACCGGGGCTTTATCTGTGGTGGTTGAGCATGAGTGAAGAACGACACACACAAGACCAGCAGCAGAATCACAGCAGACTGATGAATCTCCATGACCTGCTGAACAACACACACACATCAACACACCTTTACTGACATTTCACTTATAAAGCAGTTTGGTGATTAAGAAAATACTATGATACCCTTCTTTAGTTTTTACTTGCACATATTTTGCTGTGCACATGTTTCTACGTAGATGATTCCAATCCCCTTTGTTTTGTCTGTATCTGTGTAAAAGTCAATTTCATTCCATTCTATTGAGTCAAGAAAAATGTATTTTATCTGATAGTTGCCAGTTCTAAAGTTCTTAACATTTAAAGTCAAGGTAAATCACAAACCCCATAATAATAATAATCTTACCCCAGAAAAACATTTTCTCAAAGTATGTTGCTTTTTATAGCTACTTATTACAATGCTTTGCAGATTATTGATAGACCACCTTTTTCCAATATATATATATATATATATATATATATATATTTACATGTTACAAAAATATTAAATGAGCTTGTTTGAACTGATACTCACGAAGGTTGCACTCTATAGTCTGGGGTAGTTAGCCTGTGGCCAAGGTAATGCAGTCAGGCTTAATCTTGATGTTAGATGAATCTTCAGGATTATCTGCAGATCTCAAAGCTGTCAGTCATCAGTTGGAAACAGGCTCCTCAACAAATGTGATGTTTATCAGATCTCGGGAGATTATCAAGCAGACGCAGAGAGGGGCCATATTTATACACAAGATAAAGCAGAATCATCCATGATGTCCAGACCATCCAATCATAGCACTTATAGATCAACCCTACCATATATAGCATATTAAGACATATAATAACGAGCAGTCAAATGTATGTGCGTGACTTGAGTTTCCGTTTGCGTGTGAATGTATAAGTGTGTCTAGACATAGTTCTCGTTTTGTCTAGGTGTGTCCATGATGTACACATAACATAACATAACGAAAAGAAGGGCAGTCTTACACAAGAATTATCAAAAGTGGAGCCTAAGAAATAATACAATACTAACACTTGATATCACGACTAGGGCTGGGTATCGTAACAAATTGTTCGGTACCGATACCGATACCGATACCTTGACTTCGATACCGGTTCCTGAACGATACTTTTTTCGATACCAATTTTATGTAACCAGGTTTTACAATATAACATTACCTAATTTTTTTTTCAGTTTGTTGACTTTTTTACACTCATATTTTGAGTATGTAAAAAAGCACCAATGCTAAAGTTTTCTATGTTTCCTAATCATTTAACAACATGTATTCTTTACTTCAATGAGCTCATTGTTTCTGCTTTAACTTAATGCATTAATTAACGATGAAACTGAATGAAAATTAATTGAAATGCATTACACTGTCACCTCTGATAACAGATCACTCTAAATTGTAATTTAGACATGCATTTTCTGTAAAGCTGCTTTAAAACAATATGTATTGTGAAAAATGCTATACAAATAAATGTGAATTAAATTAAATATAGGCAACTGGGGGGCGGGATATATACCTGCACGTGAAGCTTGCCGCAAAGCACTGGCAAAAGTAGCCTAATGATTATGGATGTGGAAACAATAGCAAGGAGATATTTTAATTGTTTATTAATGAACAAGTGTTTACTAATGGTGTGTTCACACCGAACGCGAATTTAATTATTTGTGCGAGTAGATTACATACATAGTCAATGCAAAGACGCGAATAGACGCATCATTCGCGCCGGGCGTCGCGAATGACGCGAATTGGACGACGCGTTTGCCGCGAACGTCTTCCGCGCAAGTTGAAAAATTTGAACTCGAGCTGAAGATTCAAGCGTCGAACTAGACGCGATAGACGCGTATTTGACGCTCTATTCGCGTTCGATGTGAACACCATTACTCTCAAGTGTGTTTTGTGCGCTTCAGTGCCTAGATTTACCGTGTTGCCGGTCTTGGCAGCAATGATCTTGTCGAAAATATTGCATCGCGTGCATCTGGCATCGAGTCTGGCACATGACATAGGTACACTTTGGATCATTTCCACATATTTTCTATCTATCTGGGTTGGGACGCACGCTTACACACACACACACACACGCACACACACTGCAGCCTCACGTGCGACGAGCCGCGTCTCTGGGCAGCAGCGTAATCTAGTGTTTTTCCGCCACAGCCAATCATGCTGCATGCTTATTGTTTCACTGACGTTGACGAGATTAACCACTTAGGTACCGAAATGTGGTACCGAAAAACAAGACATGTTTCGATACTCGGAAGTATCGAGGCAATTCGGTCGGTACCTAAAAAGTACCGAACTCGGTACCCAGCCCTAATCACGACACTGGCTTTAAAATGTTCCGGTCCACACAGGCTTTGATCCTCAAGCTATAAACTCTAGAGCGCTTGCAAAGTTTGCCGTGAGCAGCCAATCGTGTGACACATGAAGAGTTTCATAGTGATAATACTTCTCTGATGAAGATTACGAGATAATAACCATGGTAGAAATAATTTAAATACATATCAGCAACAACACTTTTGCTACAGCTTAAGAGAACTGCAAAAAAAGCTAGAAAATAACAATGTGTCATTATCAAAGTGATTTAATATTGGCCCTGTATTTTCTCATTTATTTTGACTTTCCCCATACAACATGAAGAAAGTACAGTTTAATGTTATGACCCCCCAAATAATTTAGGGGTACAAGGGTCTAAAATTGACATTAAAAGAGACCCGGTGTGAGAGACCCAGGTTCGGATCCATTGTGAGCAAGACACCTTGAGCAAGACACTTAACTCCTAGTTGCTCCAGAGGCATGCGGCCTCTGACATATATAGCAATTGTAAGTCGCTTTTGATAAAAGCGTCAGCTAATTGTACAATGTAAATGTACCCATCTCACATATAGTGACCCCCTGCCTTAGGGTTGTCCTCTTACCCATCATTGAGAAATCACCTAATATCAGATCTTTCTCATTACAAAATCTTTGACAGTTTTCTTCAACAGAGTCAGGTATTTTCTGGAGCTTAGTTTTATTAACTCAAGGGGCAAAACTAAAAGTTTCCAAATTGCAGTGTCAAATAAATCAAAAGCAGAAGCCGGCACAATACTATTTTGGCTATTAGCTCTGAATAAAGTTTAGTGAAGCGCAACTTAGTCCCGATAGTGTATTCTTTACATATCGTCACTAATCTAAGATTATGGCTCTGTTTTTTAGCACAAAAAACAAAACAAAGATACAGATTTTTCTTCAGGACATACAGCAATTACATGTTGAAATATGTAATATCATTACATATACTTAAGGCCGCTATCGAAGCATCCTGGGCCTCCATAACACCTCAGCAGTGCCACAGGCTGATTGTCTCCATGCCACGCCGCATTGAAGCAGTCATTTCTGCAAAAGGATTCCCGACCAAGTATTAACTATTGAGTGCATAACTGAACATAATTATTTGAAGGTTGACTTTTTTTTTTTTTTTTTTTTTTAAACACTTATTTTATTGGTCGGATGAAATATGCTAATTTTTTGAGACAGGAATTTGGGGTTTTCATGAGCTGTATGCCAAAATCATCAGGATTAAAACAATAAAAGACCTGAAATATTTCAGTTGGTGTGCAATGAATCTAAAATATATGAAAGTTTAATTTTTATCATTACATTATGGAAAATAATGAACTTTATCACAATATGCTAATTTTTTGAGAAGGACCTGTATATATATATATATATATATATATATATATATATATATAAATGTATAGTTTAGTAGAAATGTCTCAGTAGAAAAGCAGGAGGCACTAAACTGTGTACATTCCCTTACAGATAAAGACACACTTCACACAACGGGTAACTAATCATATATCAGTACCATAATTTCATCATTTGAGGTTTTGTGTGATTAGCATGAGCTGAACACATCGTTCATGGTGTATGATGACATAGATCACACAGTTTGATAAAGACAATGTTGCATTGCTAACAGAAGATACTCAAACAAGATGATATCAAACAAAGATACTCAAACAAGATGATATCAAACACTTTCTCAGTCCAGCACACAGGAAACATTCGCACAGTTGTGAGATTCCAGTCTTTTCCTCAGGAGAAAAATCTGAGATGGAGACTGTGAGTTGATCAGGCTGACACATACAACTTGAACTTTGTTGAATGATACTTAATTTCTCTCTAATAGTAGATATAGGACACCTGGTGAAGTTCTCAGTTACGCTTCATGTTGCTGGTTTGTGGACATTTATTTTAATGTATGTTCATGAAATTTAAGATGAAGGAATATGCTAAAAAGCATTTTTTTAAAGAATTTACGACACTAAAGCACAACTTGCATGAAAATACAGTAGACTTGCACAGAAAAGAGCACAGCACTGGGAGATATTATTTTTACGAAAAACGTAAAATTACAATTAACAAACAAAGTAATACTCGGTTACAACAGAGAAAAATAAATATTCTTTCTTAACATTTTGTCTCTGTTTACACTAGGTGAGCGTCTCGGTTACTATTGTAACCTCTGTTAACTGATGGAGGGAACGAGACGTGATGGGTCACACTTTGGAGTCCTAAACACTTGAGACTTCAGAAAAGGCCAATGAGAATTGGCGAGTGGAATTTGCGCGCTATGGATATTTCAGCAACATTGAACATTGTAGACGGAGGGACAACACGTCTCAATCCCTCCATCAGGGAACAGAGGTTAGAATTGTAATCGAGATGTTCCCTATCTGTCAGTCACTTGACGTGGTCTCGATTATAATCGAAAGTTACTTTGTTTACCCAGCTGTGCATGTTTTTGTTCCAGTTCCTTTGTTTTTCTGTATTTGTGTTAAAGACATTAAATTAAAGGTCTTACCTTGTTGTTTTGGGTTAGTTAATATGTTGTTCTCAGATTTATTTTGTCTGAAGGCTTTACAGTAATCAACACTATGGTAATGAACAAAACCCAGAAGTAATTATCAAACTTGCGCCAAACAAGAGTTTAGACTGCAATAAAATAAGAAATGGCAGACAAGTAAAATGGCTGAACCTTTTGAAAGACAGTTAAGGTATCGTTGGACCCAGAAGTGTTGCACAGTGACGAATATGACAGCAATGCTGCAAGATATTGTGACGTTGAGATGCAAGACAATCCAGCAGACGAGTTTAAAGGTAGAGAGTTTTATTGAGGATTACAGACAGGTGTAAAAACATCTGTGTCTTTCTTCCCTCGTCTGTTTTTGCTCATTCACTACTCACATTAAAAAGTTTTGTAATGCTCAAAAAGTGTTAACAGAGTGCTTAAATTCAGAAGACTCGCTGAATCTGCACATGAAAAGCACAATTACACACAGACACATGCATGAAGAAGTGAGGAATATAACATCAACTTAGATAAGTAACAAAGTAATTTTAACATTATGCTCATTTAAGGTAAATGATGAGAGACCTTGAAGATATTCTCGTTCATATTAGAGTCTCACAAAGACAGAGAAGTACATTTTATTTTACCATAAGTTGAACTTGTGTGCTGTTCTTCAAAAGGACATGAAAAAAACTTGTTTTTCTATTTTGCTCAAATATACTTATGTACATGTACAGCTGTACTTCAATGAATTCATTAAACTATGACGTGTTAACCTCTAACTGAGGTCAAGTATTTATTTATCTATTTTATTTTTGGCTTTGTGATT